TTATTTTGAATTTATTAGTCAAGACTTTAAGCTATCTTTGTATAACTAAAACAAAGTCGAAAATATGTCTCAATGACCGGTTTCTTGGAGACCTCTTATCTGAGAGGGATGTCTAATCACACGATGGTGTCCTGAGTTGTCCGATTCTCCAATGTATTCTGAAGGGTAACGTTTGCATTGAATATAGTAACAAATATTAGTTCTGTGACATGTCATATGCTATCTAATTTTCACTTCAGTCCAAATACACTACCAACAAAGAAAGATCCTTCTTTACTATACTTGTAAAATGAGTATTGTACTACTTTATTCTAAGCTTTATTTGATAAGTATACAACTACTTTACTACTTTACATTTGATAAAACTGGCCTCTTGACACGTTAAAACTGTTGTTAAAACTTTAAACTTCTGCTGTATTCACGGTGGACCAATATGTGTTTCAAATTCGGTGAACATCTATAGGTAAACATTTAGTTAGCCCAGTCAAGTGAATTTTTTGAGTACTGTCTTGTTATGCCTAGTAACTAACTAGACATAGAGCACTAGTTCCTTCTTTTTCTTTCACGTGGAGTCCTTGTTACCATATAGAAAAGACAAATATATTTTCGTCTGATTCACATGTAGTTCATAGTTCAAGAGCCATACTGTACAGTAGTTTCTTTTCTTTATTTAAATTTCTTTGCACATATATATATATATATGTTACGGGCAAAACTGGAATTCGATCAAATCTGAGATTTGCCCGGTCAAAACTGGAATTCTAGTTTTGACTAGAGAAATATTCGTCAAAACTGGAATCTTGGCAAATCTGAGATATTACAAGAGTAAAATGTAACTGTTATTTAAAATTGATAATCATGCTTTTTATATAATATCATATTGATATATCATGCAATCAACTGTTATTTAAATTTGATAATCATGCTCTTAGTTTCTCTAGTAAAGACTGAGGACATGCTTGTACTGCTAATACGGTATATATACTCAAATCTTTACCAAATACTAATCTACTTAACCTCGAAAAGGTGCCATGATATCTAAGTAGTTTTTTCATTTTATGTATTAATATATGTGCACTCAAATACGAACATTTATTACTAAGACAATCTGTTTCATTATGCACATGTGCACTCATCTGAATAGTAGTAAAGAAATCTGATATGTATTTACAGAAATTTTCTGAGTTTCAGCCCTAAAAGATAGAATAAAAAAGAATACATTTTCATGAACTTGACATCGCGCGGCTTTCGAGTAGACTTCAAGAAATCTATATGCAATTTAATCGGTCAGTGCACGAACCGGAATGGTTGAAGTTACCACAGAACGCAATAATATTCAGTAGTACAAGTTATATGAATCTCACAATCAAAGAATCATGAGTAACTTGGTCCTAAAACTGTCAGTTATGAGCGATGGATCGAAGAAAAGTTTCTTTATTCTGTTCTTTGCGCTGTAGAGAAATAATCTTAAAAAGTATGGTACCACCAGTTGTTAAACTAAATATCACCAAACTAATTAATAAATCTCTTGAAACTTCAGTGTTTTTACCATCTTTCTCAATAATTGATTGATGGAATTTTCACGGTTTTCAAAAACCCCACCATCAGCAAATTTCCTGATAATATGAAAGATGAATCAATATGAAAGATATATTCATTCGAAATTTGATGAGAACTCGATGTTTAACCATCAAACATTTTGCTTTTGTGATGATACGAGCTAGTTTGGAAGAATGTTATGCGTAAATTTTGTTTGGAAGAGAAACGTTTTCAAATAATGTTATTATTGAAAAAATTACAAATGGTACATGCTATATTGATGATCATTGTATTCGGATATCATCTACATCGATCTGTCTCGACTGGCGTGAATATTGTGATGGAAAAATTGATTGTTTAAATGGACACGATGAACATTATTGTTCGACGCTCGAAATAAACAATTGTCCGAAAGAATCATTTCGTTGTCAAAACGGAATGTGTATACCAAAAGATTTTACTTTTGATTATTACTTGGATTGCATGGACAATTCGGAAGAAGATATCGATGAGTATCTTGATCAATGCTACAAGATGTCCGATAATGAATGTGATAAACATCACTGTGGCCTAATGTCATTTTCTTGTGGCGATGGTCAGTGTGTTGAGCATGCTGAAGATTTTAAATGTAAAACAAATCGAGACAAGTTTTATATAAAAACAATGTTTACAGAAGGAAATAC